TTTCAATTTATATAAAATTGAGTGAGAATTGGAAGTGAAATTATATTCCCTTACCTTCTAATCCTAAGCAGATAAATTATAAATTTATTTATTGCAAGAAGTTACTTTAAAATGAAAATTTAATATGAGAAATATTGATGTATTTGATAACAAATCACTGGCATGTAATTTCCTTTGTCAATTAGTACCAGTTGGAAAGATGTGGGTGTCTCTTTTTTAAATCAACACTTCTGACTTTCTTAAAGTTGAACATTTTCCATGCAATTCTTCTTCTCCTTTCTTATCCCCATCTACTTAAATTTAGGTGCTAAGTAAGAAACACATATAAAAGTCTTGTGCACACATCTTCAAGGTCATTCTCTCAGAATGTGTTATTAATATTTTGTAATATCGGATGTATTAAGCAGCCTTATAAACTAGAACTAGCACCAAAGTAGGGCTATTAGTTGCTCTACTTAGATGTGGTAAATAAAGTGGAAAATGCTTTGCTTAGATTCTCTGACAGGAGTTTGCTGGAGCCACAGTGGGACAGAAAGAATCTTAGGTTATTTCAGAGTGGACCGCAGAAATCAGGCTCTACCTTCTGACGTGGAACGCCACTAAGCCTAATTTATAGACAGATCAAGACTGAATCCTTGTCTGGAGTCATACCTTCCAAGGGTTTGAGAGCCTGGGTAGCCAGGACATTATGCTTTGATGCTAAAGCCTAAGCAATTCCATTTCAGAAAAGAGCTTAAGTACCGTGGGGAGGTAGCATCTCCAAGCTTGCTGCTGCAAGTTGATACTCAGGCTTTATAGATGTGAGGAAATGATGGAAATAAGGTTGGGGATGGGAAGTCTGCAAGTTAATAGTTCATAGTTTTGTTTTAACTGGTAGGTATGCTTGAAAGAGCCTCCAGAAGTCTCAGAAATCCCACAAGCACTGCCAATATTACAAGGACTCAAAATATGGATACGTGTATTCTTTTTAAATTGCTTGTTTAATGTACCTTAACATTAACACACAGATTGGTATAAATATCAGGAAATCAAATAAGCTCATTCAACTATTCAGAGCCATCACTAACCCATGGGACACCCCCCCTGTATTCCTATCTAGCTCCAGAGCACTTGGCTTGGCCAAAGGAGTTTAGGACTGGTCATCGTCCCCTCTGCTGCATGAGCACAACTTCCACAAAAAAATATGTGATAGTCCTGGCACTAATATTTCAATGTCTTCTCTGTGTCCAAACTGTGCTAGCTTCTTTATGCACTTATGCTTTATGAACTATGATTATCATCTCGAGTTTCAAATGACTCATCTGGAGGATGGTTCAGAAGGAATCTGAATCAAAATCAATATATTTTCTATTAAATCAAGCTGCCTTCTACCTCTGCCTCTTATTCATAAAAAATTATTAGAGTTTTTCATCTCCATGTCAGTGCTATGGGGTGTTGTGTAAAATGTGAAGGAGAGTCACATGCCTTTTGGGGACAACTTCAGATCAGATCTAAAGTTCTATAGCTAAGAATTTGCTATTGATCTCAGTGGGCTGTTTCAATTAGCACAGGCTTTTCATTCCTTTTTGGTAAACACAGATGTGTCCAGTTTAGTCTATAATAATATATATTTTACTGGTTTTACTATGAGAAATGAGGGTCTCTCCCTTTCATAAAAAATAATTTTCTCCCTCTTCGTGCCCACATTATAAAATATATCTACTAAGCAAATCAGGTTAATTATGTAAAAATGTGTTCATTTTCAGATGAAAAGATTTATTAAAATGTATACAATTTAATAAGCTAAAGAAAACAGCTGATGATAAATGGCAACCAAGAAAGCATTACATTGATTTAAAAACCTGATATGTAGATGGCTTGTACAGCAAACTTTGCTGTCACAAAGACCTGGAGTTGAATTTTAGTTCCTCCACTATTTTCCATGTAACTTATACTTCCTGAGACTCATTGCTTTTTTCTCTGCACCAAGTAATAATTCCAGCTTCACCACTCATGATAAGGAATATGAAGGAGAGACTATAGGTAAATAATCTGGCACCTACAAATCCTTAAGAGACAGCTCTGTGTTGGGGGACAGCAGTGTGGGTGAGAGTTTCAATGCCTTCTGAGCGTTAGTTAACAGGACTCATCATGAGAACGCAGGGGCAGGACATGGGGTAACTGTGTGTGTGGGGGTGTGCCACTCAGAACTAATCTACACACTTTCCTAGTGGTCTTCCAAATACTTTAAAAGAGCAGGTTGTCTTATTCTGTTTGAAGTATCTTGATAGGGGTAGTGTGGGTATGTCCTAGAAAGCCTACGGTCTAGCTTGGGCATTTATATGAGCTTTTTGTTTATGGACTGTCACGGGAAATCAGAACTAACCAGACATACGACTGTTTTCTCCAAAGTCATTAAGTTTGTACCTAAATGGTATGTTATAATGTCCAGGGAAGGAAGCTCTTGCTGAATTAATAATTTTTTCAGTCTATTTTTGAGCATAAACTTATGCCTTCCTTTCCCACATCCTTATCAAAATGACTGTTCACCATAAAATTGTTATTTCTAGAATGATCCAAAGCAAGATGTATTTCCTTCCTTTTGTTAAAGACTTTGTTAATTAGCTAAGGGTAGATATTTAAAAATAGCTGAAACACCATCTGCCCTCCAAACCCCAAGCATTTAAAACGCACTAAATTGTTTGAGTAAACCATTTACAATTTTATTTCCTTTTTGCTTTTCATGCATAGAACAAAAGTACCAACCCAGTCATTTTTTCAGGGTATAAACTGTTCTCTTAGAATAAATACATAGGACTTATTCTAGAATAAGTGCACAAGGACTGAAGTGTGTAAGTACTGAAGTAAATTTTTATCTATTTGTTCAACACATACTGACATCTTTAAAGACATCTTCTATCACTTTCTTCTAAGAATCCAGTGCTTTCATATGTGTCAATCCTTCTTACTCACCAAGGCGCAGTCATTGGTGGAACTATGAAGCTGGCACATACATAGTCTTTCCTTACCTTTCTTTTTTGCTTTATGCCTGTGTTTCTTGAAAAAATGATATACAAGCTGTTGACTTTAAAAAGTGGCAGTGGTCTAGAATTCTTTTGTGGAGAGAAAATGTTCTATGACATTCTTTGGTCATTAAGAACATTGAGAAGTCTCCCCAAATGAAGTATTAGTATTTAAATTGCTCTGACTTTATGTATATTGGTATTATAAAGTGTAGAGTAGTCTCCAAATTAGTCAGCCTGCCTAGTTATGGTACTCTAATTTGCCAGACACTTGGTTTGCCTTCTTTCTGTTTCAAACACAGAATTTTTCCTTTGTAAACTTTATGATTTACAGTTATACTTTATCCTTTAATACAAATGTTTAACTTCATCAGCCTTAGACAACTAAAGCCAAACATTGAAAATAATATTGAAATATTGTAACCAAATTCCCTTTGTTCATTGCTGATAGTTACATCTGATAATCCTCATTTCTTTAGGGAGCTTTAACTGCATTGATGCAGACAGTTTATACAACAGTGAGCTAGAAGCTGAGGTCAGCATCAGTTTCTCCAGTAAGTAAGAGTGAAGGTTGGTGATGTCTACATGATACATGATTCTTTTCTAGGTTTTGCAATGGAATATATATGGTTGCTGTTGCTTCTAGCAATTAGAGTGCTTCCGGGGTCTGGGCAGTTCAATGGCTACAACTGTGATTCCACCCTCCACAGTAGATTTCCTGGTAAGTCCGAACCTAATCTCTTTTCTAATTACTTCGAGAAAGAGTGATTCTGTTTGAATACCAACTTATTTAAATACATATGGAAGTCGGGGGACTAGCCCTCATATTAACTGAATATTAATAAATGGCAAATGACAAAAGACAGTTGTAATTATATCCACATTAACATATAAAGTGTTCATCATATTAATATTACAATGGATGAGTACAGATATAAAAAATATTGGCTAGTGGGTAATAAAATTGGGAGAAGCTAACTTCATTCAAAATTTGCCCAAACTGTGTTCTTTTTTTCTCATAAGTTAATTCAGACTTTTAAAACTTCTCCTATATACTAATAGGTCTGTTTAGGAATAATGTTTAGGAAAATGTTTGTGAAATATTACGCAATACTGAAAAAATACTATTTCAATGAAATGGTGGCCACTGCCAAAGCACACAGGTCAGCTTCAGAACAAATTTCACAGAAACCCAGAATTACTGCTACCTATGAGATTTTGATCATATCAGTGGACATGTCCCACAGGTTCCTAAAATCTGCACTCAGTAAGAAGGTACTCCATGCTTCATTTAAGGATTTATCATTTTGTATTCACTGGAGTTATAGAACCAGACAGTTCAACATTTACAAAGTAAAGATTAGATCATCTGAAATGTTTTTTTCAAGTCTGCCATCCAACCCGAACACCTTTGGCTGTGTTTTGCATTCTCTAAACTTGCCAGTTTTCTGTGTTTGGAGCATGCTGGAAACCGCACACCTGCATGGCACTCAGCAGTAGTCACAGAGATGAGACCTCTCCGTGAGAGCAGGGGCCAGCATGCGTCTGAAGGTCTTCATGAACCCAGACTTAGTATGCAGGGTTGATAGTTTTGAATATCAAAAATGAAGTTTTTTGAACTTTTTATTATGGAAAATGTCAAACATGTACAAAAGTAGAGATTAGTAAAAAGAGCACTCATATTCATCACCCAGGATTGTCAGTTTTCAACATTTATAAAGTTTGTTTCATGTCTCTCTCCTCCTTCCCACTCCTATCTCTGGAATATTTTAAAATAAGTTCATTATTTATGCCTTGGTGTGTATATGTAATAGAAAAGAACTTAAAAAGCATTATTATTTCATGTATAGATCTAATAAACTTAATACTTCCTTAATATCATATAACACCCAGCCAACTTGCCTCTAAAATCTCCACGCAGTGCAATTTTTTGGTATGTCTATTTTCATTTATAAGAGTTCCCCTCTGTCCTTTGCATTTTCAAGATGCTATTTATCTCTGAGCGATTCGGTCATTTGTCTTGTAGAATTCTGACACAGTGGATTTGGCGGACTGCAACTGCTCCTCTGCTCTTGTCCGCCCTGTAAACTATTTAGAGCTAGAGGTTTGAGTAAATTTGGGTTCAATTGTTTTGGCAATAATGCCTTACGTGTCATTTCATATAATGAAAGCGTTTTGTCTTTATTTTTTAGGCCATGAAGAGCCACTGAGTTTTTTCAACCAAACCTTACTAAGAGTTTGATACGCTCACATTTTGTTTTAGAAAGCAGTTGTTGGAAAAATGTGAAAGATACGTTCAAATTACAAGAGACTCGCAAAGCAGGGAGAAATACTGTATTGGTAGGGCGGTGGCAGCGGAGACAATACAAAGGGAAAACTATTAGGAGTTTCTTTTTTGTGGTGGACTGAGCATAAGTTGAGAACTGGTTTGTGAACTTGGCCAATTGCATATTGATGCTGCTGACATGAAAAACACAGGGTGTGACAGGTTAAAGTCATTTTTAGATTGTACAGTGGCAGCTTCTACTCAATAGCAGGAAATATCCAGCTGGGTCTGAGAAAAGATTCAAAACTGAAGATAGATAAGTGGGGGCGAATCCCCAGGCAGTGGGGGAATAACGAAAAGGGGGTAGAAACAAAAGGTGAGGAAATAGACGACTGTTTAGAGAAACTCCTTGTGGAAACAAAGAGAGGGGTAACCTGAGCCAGAAATGAGAAAAGAGATTTTCTGGACTAGAGAGGGCTGAGCATATGTGAGGAAGAAAGAGTATTCGGAAATCAGACAAAGTGATGGAGAAATAATTGATGTACATGAGGAAAGAAAATGTGGAAAAGATCGGTGGTACAGCGGAGAGAGTTACCTTTGGGAAAGTAATTGCTGCTTCTTTGATTTAAGAGAGAAGGAGAGATAAAAACAGAGTTGGAGGAGGTGCTAGATGCTCGCTGTGTACACCCCCTTGGGACAGTGGAAGGTGATGTCCCTCATCAGAGTGGCTGGGCCCTGGGGACAGTGGTCAAGCCATGACCCTGATATGGATGGATAAGGCGGCCAAATTGTAAAAGGATTGCTCAGCAGGGAGGATCTGGCTGGTATGGTAGTTATTTAAAGGCACATAAAACATGTTAATGAGCCAAGAAAAGACTAGGACAGCAAAAGGAATTATTCATTATATGGTAACTTAAAAAGTTATGTCGAAGCATCCATTTGCAACGGCATCACCTGAACACCTGCGTCGCAGTCACCAGGGACAGTAGTTAAAAGTGGGGGCTTCCCACTTTACCCTAACTGTGCAATGTCGGAGTCTCTCAATGGGGTGTTAGAATTTGTATTTTAAACACTGCAGATGAGTTTAATATACATTTACGGTTAAGAATGAATAGTATGTTCTATCATTTTCTTGCATCCATTATTCCAATTGAAGCATAATCATGTGTTGGGGAAATGTAATTAAAAACAGAATCTCCTAATCCAGAAATCCTCTCTGCTAAGGTAACAGAGAAAGAAAACTCTTTTATCACAGAGTGAGCATTGACCAGACTATGATGAGCATCACAGGCAATCTCTAAAATATCACAAAGACTTTCTGATCTCACCCTTCTAGATAGCTGGGCAGATACAACCCATTCTGTATGTGTTTTCAAGATAGACGAAAAGTACCATTTGGCAGTTCATCCTAGCTTTAACTGGTAAAGCCAGTGATCATCTGTGTTAGCTTACTGATTTTATCCAGAGGATAAATTAACTTACATCTTTATGACAGGAGGTAGTTTTGTCATTTGGAGCAAGGTTTCCAACACAGTTAGGTGCCCACCCTAACAAAGAAACTGGGAGAAAGGTTTCCATTTCAAAGAGATGGCTCCCAGGTCCTTGAGAGAGACATTCCCAGACCTTAACACTTCTAAAAGTCCTATCTAGTTTTCAAAAGGATTTATACGCATTTCAAAGAAAGGAGAAAGTACCTGCAATTATACCTTTTCTAAACTAAATGCTCTAGGAAAAGGGTGGGAGAAGAAGTCTTTTATTTTCACAGGGAGAATTATGATAATTAAGTCTTATTTTTAATTTGTATTTTCCTTACATACTTTGAGTATTATCTAGTTTAGATAAGAAATATCTATTTTTTCAAACAGATGTATATATGAACACTCATTTATTCACACATACAGAGTTACAATATAAATCGGTATTAAAAAAATAAAACCTAAAATCTAAATAAAGCAGATGCCCCAGGAGAGGCTTTACTTTTATATGGGTTTATTTAATGCCCGTTTTGTGCAGGTTGTTGGCAGAAGGAAGATCAGATGGAGCAAATAAAGCCTAAAGATTAATTGCTCACTGCCCCTCTTGACTTTCGGCCTCCCTTCCACATCAGGATCACCCCTGATGTCATCAGAACCTCCAGGAGCTGTTCACATCCTGAGCAGTGGGATAGAATGAGAATGAGTCTGGCCAAGGCGAGGGGCTATCTAAATGCAAAGCAATGCTCATAATGATGAGAGGAATCGTCTCACCCTATCTGACCTTTGCTGTTTCATAACATTAGAACTATTTTCTTTAATTTTCATGGCATTATCATGGGGCCCAGAGGAACACCATGGTGTAATTCATTGAAATTTAAAGG